ACTACTTAATTATCACCATTGGTTCCTTATTGTGTACATTAGCAGGAAGGTACAGTCAGGAGTTGGATCTAAGAACATTTTAACTGCCGAGCCAAATGCCTGTCCCCATAGTTTTTATAGCTATCCATGATATTAGGCATTGATCACAGTTTTCCTGTGACCTGCTTTGCTCTTTATGAATAAGAGAACAACCAATGAGATAACAAGCATTTCAATTTAATGTGATTTGAAATACATTGAGATACATTAGTTCATAAAGCCTTTATTTAATGCACACATTGTTTGACTACCTTTTAACATAGTTATAAATAATTTGAATTAGAAAACTTTTTCACATTCCTGCTCTTTTATAAAATGTCACTTGCTCTTCAAAGAACTGAAACATGCGTTGAATGTTACATACTGAATACCTTTGTCAGGCAACAGCTGACAATTCTCATGAGTACATACATAACTTCCATGGCTTGCTGAAATTCCACCATAATTCCAGGAAAGATTCAGAAATGCAACAGTGGGTTAACTTGACACCAAGTTAATGGTAACACTGGCTGCTTTGGGAAATAGAAAAATAAAATTACAACTACTTATGTTAGCTTCAGGAACTTAGATAATCACCTGCTTAGAAGTCATGTTTTGCTGCATACTCATGAGCTTAAGAGTTATTCTTTTTTAACTTTCTATTTTGTAATAAATATAGACTCACTTAAGATTGTAAAACAAGGCCGGCACCGCAGCTCACTAGACTAATCCTCTGCCTGCAGTGCCGGCACGCCGGGTTTTAATATGGGCGCTAGTTCGAGATCTGGCTGCTCCACTTCTGATCCAGCTCTCTGCTATGGCCTGGGAAAGCAGTAGAAGATGGTCCAAGTCCTTGGGCCCCGTACTCATGTGAAGACTCCTGGCTCCTGGCTTTGGATTGGTGCAGCTCCGGCCATTGTGACCAGTTGGGGAGTGAACCAGTGGATGGAAGACCTCTATCTCTGCCTTTCCTTCTCTCTCTGTGTAACTCTGCCTTTCAAATAAATAAATCAATCTTAAAAAAAAAAAAAAAAAAAAGACTTCAGTGGAGACACTTGCACCCCATATTGGAGTACCTGGGTTCAAGTTCCAATTCCATTCTCAATTCCAGCTTTTTGCTAAAATGCACCCTAGAGGCAGGCAGGTGATAGCTCAAGTACTTGGGCTCCTGCCGCCCAAGTGGGAAACTTGGATTGAGTTCTTGGCCTGTCCCACCCCTAGTTGTGAGTATTTAGGAAGTAAACCAGTGGATGGGAGCGCACACGCTTGCTTGCTCTATCTCATTTTGTCACTATTCTGTGCCTCTCAAATACATAAATTTTAAAAATGGCAACAGAACTGTACACTCATTATGTTCTTGGTAATCCCAGAATGCCTTGCAGATAATAATATATCTCTTGAGAAACAGTTGTGATGTAGTGAAAAGGGTAGTATTTTTTTTTTTTTTTTTTAAGATCTATTTATTTATCTGAGTCAGAGTTAACACGGAGAGAGGAGGAGAGGCAAAGAAAGTGAGAGAGGTCTTCCATCCATTAATTCACTCCCCAGTTGGCCGTACTGGCCGGAGCTGGGCTGATCCGAAGCCGGGAGCCAGGAGCTTCTTCCAGGTGTCCCACATGTGCAGGGACCCAAGCACTTGGGACATCTTCTGATGCTTTCCCAGGCCATAGCAGAGAGCTGGATCGGAAGTGGAACAGTTGGGACTCAAACCGGCGCCCATATGGGATGCCGGTACTGCAGATTTCCCGGCTATACCAAAGCACTGGCCTCCGTTTTTTTTTTTTTTTTTTTAAGGTTTTATTTGGCCGGCGCTGCGGCTCAATAGGCCAATCCAATCCTGTGCCTGCGGCGCTGGCACCCCGGGTTCTAGTCCCGGTCAGGGGACAAAAAACAAAAAATAAAAAGCCAAAAAAAAAATTAATTACAGAGAGAGAAAGAGATAGTATGATCTTCCATCCACTGGTTTACTTTCCAAATGGCTGCAATGGCTGGGACTAGGCCAGGCTAAAGTCAGGAGCTCGGAGCTTCTTCTGGGTCTCCCATGTGGGTACAGAGGCTCAGGCATTTGGGCCATCCTCCACTGCCTTCTCAGGCACACTAACAGGGAGCTGGATCAGAAGAGGAGCAGCATTGCCGGTGCTGTAGCATAGCAGGTAAAGCCACCGTTTGTGGTGCCAGCATCCCATATGGGTGCTGGTTCGTATCCCAGTTGCTCCACTTCCCATCCAGCTCTCTGCTGTGGCCTGGAAAAGTAGTGGAAGATGGCCCAAGTCCTTGGGCCCCTGTAGCCATGTGGGAGAGCTGGAGGAAGCTCCTGCCTCTTGGCTTTAGATTGGCACAATTCTGGCTGTTGTGGTCATTTGGGAAGTGAACTAGCGGATAAAAGACCTATCTTTCTCTCTCTCTCTCTCTCTCTCTCTCTCTCTCTAACTCTGCCTCTCTTTAACTCTGCCTTCCAGATAGATAAATAAATCTTTTAAAAAGGAAAAAAAAGAAAAGGAGCAGCCAGTGCCTGAACTGTCACCTTCTGGGATGCTGGCATTGCAGGAAGAGGCTTAACCTGCTGTGTCACAGCACTGGCCCTCACGTGTATTCTTAGTTTTCAACTATATAATGGAACTAAGTTAGTCTCAGAATTTTCAGTGACTGGTGCTAATAGGTAAGGGTTGCACTTGGAGTTTGCATTTCAGATCCCAGGTAGAATAATGTTAATGTCGTGTGCTGTGCAGGATGATTTGGAAGGGGAAAGAGACTGGAGGCAGATAGCAGCTCAGAGGCTGTTGGCTTTCCAGTGGGGTGAGGTGATAATAACCTGAATAGGGGAGCAACAAAGAGATGAAGACAGGAAAATGAAAAAGAGTCAGAAGACTCCCCTAGGATTTCAAGCCTGAGAGGTTCAAAAATTGTGCATTTTCTCAGCTTTAGTGGATATAAGGGAAAACAAGTTTGTGTTCTTTTTGACTACAAAACTAAACATAAATCAGGGTATTGAAAAACATACCCAATTCTGTTAGTTCATTGCCCTTGATACAGTTTTCAGGTAGTGGTGAATTTGTGATTTGAATTTATAAAGTCTTGATTATGTTTAAAATAAGCTCTTTTTTTTTTTTTTTTTTAAAGACCTATTATTTTTTTGAAAATCAGAGTTACATAGAGAGAGGAGAGGCAGAGAGAGAGATTGCTTCCATCTGCTGGTTCACTCCCAAATTGACCACAATGACTGGAGCTGCGCTGATCCGAAGTCAGGAGCCAGGAGTTTCTTGCGGGTCTTCCATGCAGGTGCAGGGGCCCAAGGACATGGGCCATCCTCTACTGCTTTCCCAGGCCATAGCAGAGAACTGGATTGGAAGTGGAGCAGCCGGATCTCAAACCGGCGACCATATGGGATGCCAGCGCTTCAGGCCGGGGCATTATCCTGCTGAGCCACAGTGCTGGCCCCAGCCCTTATTAAAATAAGCAAACTTACACAAAGGATACACATTTTCTGTTTCTTCAGTTGGTGAGGACAGACTGGGAGAGTGTATACTGTAAATAGTATTCTATACTTTCCCCTTGGCAATTCATGGTGTTGTGGCCCAGGAGGTGAAGCCAGCACCTCTGGCATCCTGTGTCAGAGCACCCGTTCAAGTCTTGGTATTCTGATTCCCATCAGGCGCCCTGCTAATTTTTCCGGGAAAGCAGCGAAAGATGACCCAAGTGCTTGGGCCCCTGCCATGCATATTGGAGGCCTGGGTGGAGTTCCAGATTTCTGGCTTGCATCTGGCCCAGTCACTGTGGGCATTTGGGGAGTGAACCAGCGGATGGAAGATCTCTCTGTCTGTCTGTCTCTCTGTAACTTTGCCTTTCAAGCAAATAAATAAATCTGTAAAAAAAAAAATTCCTACTGTTATGTATAATTTGTGATTTATTATAGTTAGCTTTTCCTGTTGTATTCCTTTGATCTAATATGACGTTGTGAGGTGGTTTCCCAACAACTGGAAAATGATCTTAGGTGCTTGATTTTTTTTTTTTTTTTAATATTCATTTATTTATTTGAGAGGCAGAGTAACAGCGATATCTTCTATCCACTGGTTTACTTTCTTCTTCCTTTTTTTTTTTTTTTAAGATTTTATTTATTTATTTGAGAGGTAGAGTTAACAGACAGTGAGAGGGAGAGACAAAGGTCTTCCTTCTGTTGGTTCACTCTCCAAATGGCTGTAATGGCCAGAGCTGTGCTGATCAGAAGCCAGGAGCCTGATGCTTCTTTGTAGTCTCCCATGTGGGTGCAGGGGCCCAAGCACTTGGGCCATCTTCTACTGCTTTCCCAGGCTACAGCAGAGAGCTGGATTGGAAGTGGAGTAGCCAGGACTAGAACTAGTGCTTGTATGGGATGCTGGTGCCCCAGATGGAGGATTAACCAAGTGAGCCACGGCACCGGCCCCCACTGCTTTACTTTCCAAATGGCTGCAATGGTTGGAGCTGGGTCAGGCCGAAGCCATGAGCCAGGAGGTTCTTCTGGGACTTCCAACATGGGTGCAGGGGCCAGTACTTGAGCCATTCTCGCCTATATTCTCAGGCGCATTAGCAGGGAGCTGGATCTGAAGTGGAGCAGACAGGACTCAAACTGGTGTCGATATGGGATGCTGGCATCACAAGCAGCGGTTTTACCTGCTATGCCACAGTGCCAGCCCTGAAAGATTTTGTGAAAGGACATGTACCTTGATTTTAGAGGAAAATAAGAAAACATTGTGTTGTCATCATTATATATTTACTTACTGGGATAGTTGATTGTCTTTACCCCTGATTTCCAGACAAGGTCAAGTAACAATAATATAATAGCTAATTTTTTTTTTTTTTTTTTTTGACAGAGTGGACAGTGAGAGAGAGAGAGAGAAAGAGAAAGGTCTTCCTTTTCCATTGGTTCACCCCCCAATGGCTGCTGCGGCTGGTGTGCTGCGGCCGGCGCACCGCGCCGATCTGAAGCCAGGAGCCACGTGCTTCTCCTAGTCTCCCATGCGGGTGCAGGGCCTAAGGACTTGGGCCATCCTCCACTGCACTCCCGGGCCACAGCAGAGAGCTGGACTGGAAGAGGAGCAACTGGGACAGAATCGGGCGCCCCGACTGGGACTAGAACCCGGGTTGCCGGTGCCGCAGGCAGAGGATTAGCCTATTGAGCCACGGCGCTGGCCCATATTTTTATTTATTATTTTGGAGGTAACACATTTGATTTACATCATAGTCAAAGGCTTAATCTCAACTAAATACAGAGTCCAATAAAAGCAAATACACTATAGGCCCAACATTCTTATTGTTTTCATATATGAAAAAAAAAAAGGTTACAGAGCAGTAAATTGAGTTATTCAAAGTGATGGAATTGGGATTTAAATATGTTCAGTCTGATCCAGAGCCTGTGCTTTCAATCATTTTCTCATTTAAAATATTAAATAGAGAATGAAATATTTAATGGGAAAAACAAATTTATAACTTTTCTCTTTACTCAATTTTATTTTATTTTTTATTTTTTTTTTGACAGGCAGAGTGGACAGTGAGAGAGAGAGACAGAGAGAAAGGTCTTCCTTTGCCGTTGGTTCACCCTCCAATGGCTGCCGCGGCCGGCGCGCTGCGGCCGGCGCACCGCGCTGATCCGATGGCAGGAGCCAGGAGCCAGGTGCTTTTCTGGTCTCCCATGGGGTGCAGGGCCCAAGCACCTGGGCCATCCTCCACTGCACTCCCTGGCCACAGCAGAGGGCTGGCCTGGAAGAGGGGCAACCGGGACTAGAACCCGGTGTACCGGCGCCACTAGGCGGAGGATTAGCCTAGTGAGCTGCGGCGCCGGCCTCAATTTTATTTTTAATTAAAAAAATTTAATGTTTAATTGGAATTTTAAGTATAGAAAGGTATTGTGGTTTGAGAATTTTCTTTAGAGTCTTTGCCCTTGAGTTTTCTGAATTTTTTGTTACAGTTCTGAATTCTCAGTGCTTCGTTTTCTGTTTATGATTTAGGGACCTGTCTCAGTTTTTAGTTATCCCTGAAAGAGACCTCGATATATTTTACTGAACATATTTGGGAGTTTTATTTTATGTTTGTGAAAAGACACACACATGCTTCTCATTTAACATTATTACATTTTTGTGCTGGGATTTTTTTTCTTCTGATTTTTAAAAATCTGTAACTAGTACTCTTCTGTACCGCAGTCCTCTAAGCCCTTAGTAAATATTTTTCTTTCTAAACTTCTGAAAGTTTCTCAACCTTATAAATGTGACGTGACACCAGTGACTTTGGTGCTGCTGCTGAGCTCTGGGATCTGCTGACAAAGGCTTCTGTTGTGTTTTTATTTTTATGTGCTAGGCTGAAGACTTGAGGACACTCATCAGACACATGGAGCACTGGGCGCACAGGCTGTTCCCCAGACTGCAGTTCGAGGATTTTATTGACAGAGTTGAATATCTGGGAAATAAAAAGGAAGTGCAGGTAAGTGTTGAGGTTATTATGAATATCATTCATGATACTAAATAACACAAGGACAGATTTAGTTGGGACTAAATTGCTTTTGGGGGGTCTTCATTTTGAAATGTGCCTTGGTAGGGAAAATTAATAGTGGTTATTTGAAGAATAGTGCTTTCAAAACTAAGAATTGAATAAATGACCATTTCTCCCTCTAAAATGATTGTTAGAAATATAAAAATAGGGCCGGCGCCGTGGCTCAATATGCTAATCCTCCACCTTGCGGCGCCGGCACACCGGGTTCTAGTCCCGGTCGGGGCGCCGGATTCTGTCCCGGTTGCCCCTCTTCCAGGCCAGCTCTCTGCTATGGCCAGGGAGTGCAGTGGAGGATGGCCCAGGTGCTTGGGCCCTGCACCCCATGGGAGACCAGGAAAAGCACCTGGCTCCTGGCATCGGATCAGCGCGGTGCGCCGGCTGCAGCGGCGGCCATTGGAGGGTGAAACAACGGCAAAAAGGAAGACCTTTCTCTCTCTGTCTCTCTCTCTCACTGTCCACTCTGCCTGTCAAAAATAAAAAAAAAAAAAAAAAAAAAAAAAAGAAATATAAAAATAATTCTTTTTTATTTTTCAGACTTGTCTAAAACGAATTCGACTTGATCTCCCTATTATACATGAAGATTTTGTTGGCAATAATGGTAAGAATACAAGTTGTTCTACTTTGTAACCATTTTTTTTAAAGATTTATTCTATTTATTTGAAAGAGTTACAGAGAGAGGTAGTAGAGACAGAGAGAGAGAGATCTTCTGTCCGCTGGTTCACTCTCCAGATGGCCACAACAGCTAGAGCTGCACCAACCCAAAGCCAGGATCCAGGAGCCTCTTCCAGGTCTCCCACGAGGGTGCAGGGGCCCAAGGACTTGGGCCATCTTCTATTGCTTTCCCAGGCCATAGCAGAGAGCTGGATCGGAAGAGGAGCAGCCAGGACTATAACTGGCGCCCATATGGGATGCTGGCACTTCAGGCCAGGGTGTTAACCCGCTGCGCCACAGCGCCGGTCCCCCATTTTGCTTTTAAAAATGGACATGGTTCATCTAGGCAGTATTATAGGACTGGATTCTTAGGTCTATATTTTGTATGTAGTTAAAGCACAGTACATAGGAATGCATTTTTAAATGCATTAGATGCGTTGGTGCATCTAGGATATTGTATATGGAACTTGTTATAAAAAAAGAAATGGTTGAGGGGCCAGTGCTGTGGCATAGTAGTTTAAGCCCCCACCTGTTGCACTGGCATCCCATATGGGTGCCGGTTCGAGTCCAAACTGCTCCTCTTCTGATCCAGCTCTCTGCTATGGCCTGGGAAAGCAGTGGAAGATGGCCCAAGTGCTTGGGCCCCTGTACCCACATGGGAGATCTGGAAGACATTCTTGGCTCCTGGTTTCGGATCAGCCCAACTCTGGCCATTGCGGCCGTTTGGGGAGTGAAACCAGCAAATGGAGTAACTTTGTCTCTCCCTTTCTCTGTAACTCCGCCTCTCAAATAAAGAAATCTTAGAAAAAGTGGTTGAATTGCCATTAGATACGTTGTAAAAATATATTTAGCCATATAGCTTTTTTAAAAAAATGATTGATGTATTTACTTGAGAGATTCTCATCTGCTGGTTGACTCCTCACTTGGCTACTATGGCCAGGGCTGATCCAAGTCTAAGCCAGGACCCAGATCTCCATCCAGGTCTCCCATGCAGTTAGCAGGAGCCCAAATACTTGGGCTGTCTTATGCTGTTTTCCCAGGTGCGTGAGCAGGGAGCTGGATTGGAAACAGAGCAGCCAAGACTAAAATCGATGCTCCAATGTGGGACACTGGCATCACTGGTGATCGGTTAACCTGCTCTACCACAGTGTCATCCCTGAAAATGAGCTTTTGAGAATGCTGGTAACCTTTAACCCTTTATAGCACTTGGTCATAAAATTACATACAATACAGAATAACTTGTTGATGAAAGGTTGCTTTTCATTCTGTGTAGGTCCTGGCTTTAGTAAGACCTCTGTGACTGTTCCTGGTATTGATTGCATTTGTTAGTTGTACAGTGCAACCATAGACAGTCACATACATTAAAACAGATGGTTCCTGCCGACAGAGTCTGTATAGTTATCAGATTTTCTGTGCGATGGCTCCATACATGAATGTTTGTCTTGTCTTTCTTTCTTTCTTTCTTCTTTTTTTAAAAGATTTATTTGGAAGACAGAGTTACAGAGAGGTAGAGACAGAGAGAGAGGTCTTCCATCTGCTGGTTTACTCTCCAGTTGGCCACAACAACTGGATCCGAAGTTAGGAGCCAGGATTTTCTTCTGGATCTCTCACATGGGTGCAAGGGCCCAAGGACTTGGGCCATTTTCTACTGCTTTCCCAGACCTTAGCAGTGAGCTGGGTTGGAAGAAGAGCAGCTGGGACTGGAACCGGTGCCCATATGGGATACTGATGCTTCAGGCCAGGGCTTTAACCCACTGTGCCACAGCGTTGGCCCCTGTCTTTTTTAATAGATGTGGAAACTATAATCTCCATATAGAGTTCCTCAAAGTTATTTATTTTCAAAATATTTATTTATTGGAAAGAGTTACAGAATGAGACTAAGAGACATAGAGATTTTCCATTTGCTTGTTCACCATGGAGATGGCCCCAACAGTCAGGGCTGGGTCAGCTCAAAGCCAGGAGCCTAGAACTCCATCTCATTCTCCCACATGGGTAGCAGGGGCCCAAGCATTTGGACCATCCTCCACTGACTTTTCCCAGGCTGTTAGCAGAAGGTGGACTGGGAGTAGAGCAACTGTGACTCAGACTGACACCCATATGGGATGCTGGCGTCACAGGCAGAGGCTTCACCTGCTGTGCCACAACTCCAGTCCCTCCAAAGTTATTTTATAAGTTGTTTTTAAACGTGTGAAGGAATGTGATTTAAGCAATCCAGGATTTTAGGTTTTTTTGGTAGGATATGGTATGTACTGATGGCACAGGATTTGGTATATATAAAGAAGTGAGTTATTGCAGTAGTGGATCCTACAACAAATACTACTAGGTTAGTTTGTTCATTCAGCACCACTGTTTGAGTTTGCTGCTCAACTGTGTTCTAAAGGTTCAGGGATACATATGGATAAACTCAGGCCCCTTACAGCGTATAGTCTAACAGACTACTGAATAGTCAGACCAACAAACTATTGCCAGTAGTTTGGGGAGTGCTGTAATTAGAATGAGTAGGGCACTGGGTGGGTACAAAAGAGCATAGTGTGTTGTGGAGGGGAGGGAGGAGCTTCACCGGGGAGGTACCGCACGTAATCTGAATGGTAAGCAGTGAAGGTCAGCCAGAGGAGATTTTGGAAACAGGGAACCCCTTGTGCTAAGGCATAAATTAACATGGTCGTTTAGGGGACAGAAGTGTGCTGAAACGCAGGGTACAGGGAGGAGACTCAACTCAGAGGGCCTTAATGGTTGTGGAACCTGTTTTCTTTGTATTTTAAGAGAATAGGTTCTAAATCTTTAAAGACCACAAGAGTAAAAAAAAAAATTTTTTTTTTTTTTTGACAGAGTGGACAGTGTGAGAGAGAGACAGAGAAAGGTCTCCCTTTTTTCTTTGGTTCACCCCCCAGTGGCTGCTGTGGCTGGTGCGCTGCAGCTGATCTGAAGCCAGGAGCCAGGTGCTTCCTCCTGGTCTCCCATGCGGGTGCAGGGCCCAAGGACTTGGGCCATCCTCTACTGCACTCCTGGGCCATAACAGAGAGCCGGAGAGGAAGAGGAGCAACCGGGACAGAATCCGGCACCCTGACTGGGACTAGAACCCGGGTTGCTGGCGCCGCAGGCAGAGGATTAGCCTATTGAGCCGTGGCGCCGGCCTAAAATGTTTTGAACATTTATTTAATGTGTGTACTGATTTAATACATATACTTCTATTCTGATATTAATACCTATTTTTGTTCTCACCAAAAATACATTACATTACAATTTTAAAGTAAGAACAATGGGATTAAATATTCCATTGAGTAATATTTTATAAAGATCTTGGGCTAGTATTTCTTGGTATGATTGGAGATTAGATTTTTGTTTTTTAATCTTGGTCTTACCTTGCAAAATTACATACATCCAAATGGAAGTAGAAATCATTAATTGCGTGCCAGTGCCGTGGCTCACTTGGCTAATCTGCCTTTGGCGCCGGCATCCCAAATGGGCACCGGGTCTAGTCCTGGTTGTTCCTCTTCCAGTGCAGCTCTCTGCTGTGGCCCGGGAGGGCCGTGGAGGATGGCCCAGGTGATTGGGCGCCTGCACCTGCATGGGAGACCAGGAGGGAGCACGTGGCTCCTGGCTTCGGATTGGCATAGTGCCAACTGTGGCTGCCATTTGGGGGTGAACCAATGGAAGGAAGACCTTTCTCTCTGTCTATCTCACTCACTGTCTAACTCTACCTGTCAAATAAGTAAAAAAAAAAAAAAAAAAAAAGAAAACATTAATTGCCCTTAATAAGTCTTGGCATTTATTTCTCACTCCTGTCTACTAATGCAAGGAATTTTGTTGGAGTTGCAAATTTTTTCTATTTTTTCAGTCCATTTTTCTCACAAATTAGGTGTGAAGTTTTTGTATTGTTCACAAATAGTAGTCATGTCACTCTTCAGAGTTTTTAGGTCAAGAAGTCCTGCGTGGCCCTGTGGAGTCTGCCCCGACCCTCACCCATTCCCTCTGCCGCTTCACCTCTACTCTTCCCCTTGCATGCCTCAACTGCATGTACCCGTAGCCACTCCCTGAACCTCTGGACACATTTCTGTCCTAAGGCTTTTACCCTTGTCCTCTCTCTGAAACACTGTCCTCTCCATGGCTGACTTTCCTACCTTCTTCAAACTTTGCTCATATGTCAACACAGTGACGTCACCCCAGCCACACCATTCCTGATCCCCTTTTTGCTGTTTGCTTTTTTCCATAGTTCTTATTTCCCTTAATTCTGCTACCACAGCACCAGCCCCGGTTTATAATTTTTACTTCCATAATGTGACTATGTAGAGAGGACTTGAAATGACACTACTGCCATTTTCTTCTTCTTCTTCTTCTTTTTTTTTTTTTTTTTTTTTTTTTAGATTTATTTATTTATTTGAAAGGCACAGTTACAGAGAGGTAGAGAGAGAGAGAGAGTAAACCAGCAGATGGTTTACTCCACAAATGGCCGCAATGGCCAGAGCTGGGTCGATCTAAAGCCAGGAGCCAGGAGCTTCTTCCAGGTCTCCCACGTGGATGCAGAGGCCCAAGCACTTGGGCCATCTTCCATTGCTTTCCCAGGCCACAGCAGAGAGCTGGATTGGAAGTGGAGCAGCCCAGACTCTAACCAGTGCCCACGTGGGATGCTGGCAGTACAGGCATTGGCTTTACCCCCTACACCACAGCGCCGGCTCCTCCTTTCTTATTTCTTGCTTGTGCTTCTATTCCAATAGGAGACACTGTGTTCTTTTGCAGAATCTTTTTTAAGCTACCGCTCATGTGTTTTTTTGGAATTGTTTGGGTGAGACAAGATCATATCTGTGTGTTTACTTGACTGGGCAGTCAGAAACAACTGTGTCCCAGTGTGAAAAGAGGCCCCGCTCTCTCACCCTTCTAGGGAGCTCACAGATGACAGTGACTCTGTCATAAGATCTTAAACATATTTGTAAAACTTACTCTTCTTAATACTTAAATGGAACATCTAATCCTTACCACTGTGGATCACGTTGGAGGCATCCTACTTTGAGATAACTGATATAGGTGGTTTTACGAGTTTGTTAACATTAATAATGTAGAGCATTTATTTTCTAAACATTATTTTGGGAATATATCTGCAGATACAAATTTCTTTTCCTTTTTCATTTGTGTCTGCTTTGCCCTATAAAAGATAATGGCCTAGCCGGCGCCGTGGCTCAATAGGCTAATCCTCCACCTTGCGGCGCCGGCACACCGGGTTCTAGTCCCGGTTGGGGCGCCGGATTCTGTCCCGGTTGCCCCTCTTCCAGGCCAGCTCTCTGCTATGGCCAGGGAGTGCAGTGGAGGATGGCCCAGGTGCTTGGGCCCTGCACCCCATGGGAGACCAGGAAAAGCACCTGGCTCCTGGCTCCTGCCAGGATCAGCGCGGTGCGCCGGCTGCAGCGGCGGCCATTGGAGGGTGAACCAGCGGCAAAAGGAAGACCTTTCTCTCTCTGTCTCTCTCTCTCACTGTCCACTCTGCCTGTCAAAAAAAAAAAAAAAAAAGATAATGGCCTACATAAAAATATGAGTGTATGCTATACAGAGACACTATGGCCAGAAATTAAGATGTAGAACAAGAAAATGATTTGGATTCTTTAAGCTCTCTTACTGGGCCAAGCATAAAATATTTCTAATCATAACTAAGAACTTTTCCTTTCATGCATATTTTAAATAGTATTTCCATTTGACTAACATGCCTCATTATAAGTAATTTATAAATGTCTTTAAATCAAGTATATATTTCCACATTCTCTTTATTTTTTTTTTAAGATTTATTTATTTGAATGTTGAGTTACATACAGGCAGAGAGAGAGAGCGCGCGAGCGAGTGAGCTTCCATTTGTTGATTCACTCCCCAAATAGCTACAATAGTCAGAGCTGTACCGATCGGAATCCAGGAGCTAGGAGCTTCCTTTGGGTCTCCCATGTGGGTGCAGGGGCCCAAGGACTTGGGCCATCTTCCACTGCTTTCCCAGGCCACAGCAGAGAGCTGGATGGGAAGAGGAGCAGCTGGCGACTTTACCCGCTACACCACAGTGCTGGCCCCTATTCTCACATTCTCATGCCTTACAAATTATTTCTTTAGGTAGACACCTGTCCCTGACTGAGACGAGCTCCTTCTGTAACTAGTCTAATACTACAGATGTACTAACGTTTCCTTTTCTACTGCAGATGAAGTAGGAGAGAATAATGACCGTGATATAACTGTTGCTGAAATAGATCCCTTTTTTACGAACTCATCTGAAAGTGCGAAGTTTGTCTCTGAATCGAGTGGAAGCCTGACAGAAGAGCAACAACAAAGAATTGAGAGAAATAAGCAGCTGGCCTTGGAGAGAAGGCAGGCAAGGCTGCTGAGCGACAGTCAGTCCTCAGGACACGGTACCTGTCATGCTGAGTTTTATGGGCTCCTGTTAATACATCAAGGGCTTGTTAGACATTGTAACTTCTTTACTATCCTCTCAAAGTATCTTTAGGAATCAAAAGTGTGAATGATTGTTCAAGATGCTGGTTGAGATGCCTGTGTCCCACATCAGAGCTTCTGGGTTCATTTCCTGCCTGCCTTCCTGCTTACGTGGTCTCTGGGAGGCAATGGTCATGGCTTAAGTAGCTGGGTTCCTGCCACCTTTACAGGAGACATGAATTGAATTCCCTGTTCCTGGCTCACTTATTCAAACTGTGGCCACACACACACACACACACACACACGGTCTTCTCCAGGGAAGCTTGTGGGTAGTGAACCAGCATATGCGAGTGTTGCTGCTCTCCCTTTTTCCTTTTCTCCTTGGCTCTCAAACAATTATCTTAACCATTTAATAATTTATTTTAAATACTTTAAAGCTATGTTTTCGAACTCCTTAAAGGATGTGATACATGCTGTCTTTAGCATAATTATGAAAACTTATTGTGATACAATTCTAATCATATAAAACTGTACATTGTGTACCCATTGAGGATTTTAAAGCCATTTGCTGCAACATGAATACATCTCTTTTTTTCCTTTTCTTTTTTTGTTTTTTAATTTACCTATTTATTTGAAAGGCAGAGTTACAAATAGAGCAGGAGGAGTAGATGGCCAAAAGCCAGGAGCTTCATCCATGTCACCCATGTGGGTGCAGGGGCCCAAGTACTTGGGCCATCTAAACTGCCTTCCCAGGTGCATTAGCAGGGAGCTGGATCAGAAATGGAGCAGTTGGGGCTTAAACTGGTACCCATATTGGATGCCATTGTTGGAGATAGCAGCCTAACTAGTATGCTGCAATTATGGCTCCCATGAATAGGTTCTAAAATACTTAATTTATTTTTAAATATTTATTTATTTAAAAGGCAGAGTGCGAGCGAGCTCTGGGCTGATCCCATGGCTCACTAGGCTAATCCTCCGCCTGCGGGGCCAGCACCCCAGGTTCTAGTCCCGGTTGGGGCGCCGCATTCTGTCCTGGTTGCTCCTCTTCCAGTCCAGCTCCCTGCTGTGGCCCAGGAGTGCAGTGGAGAATGGCCCAAGTACTTGGGCCCTGCAACCACATGGGAGACCAGGAGGAAGCACCTGGCTCCTGGCTTCGGATCAGCACAGCGCTGGCTGTAGCGGCCACTTGGGGGGTGAACCAACGGAAGGAAGATTTTTCTGTCTCTCTCTCACTAACTCTGCCTGTCAAAAAAAAAAAAAAAAAAAAAGAGCGCTTCCATTTCCTGGCCCACTCCGCAAATAGCCTCAACTTCCAGAGCTGGGCCAATCTGAAACCAGGAGCCAGGAGCTTCCACTGGTTCTCCCAAGGACTTGGGCCATCTTCTACTGCCTTCCCAAGCCTTAGAAGAGAGCTGGGGCCGGCGCCGCGGCTCACTAGGCTAATCCTCCGCCTAGCGGCGCCGGCACACCGGGTTCTAGTCCCGGTCGGGGCGCCGGATTCTGTCCCGGTTGCCCCTCTTCCAGGCCAGCCCTCTGCTGTGGCCAGGGAGTGCAATGGAGGATGGCCCAGGTGCTTGGGCCCTGCACCCCATGGGAGACCAGGAAAAGCACCTGGCTCCTGGCTCCTGCCATCGGATCAGTGCGGTGCGCCGGCCGCAGCGCGCCGGCCGCGGCGGCCATTGGAGGGTGAACCAACGGCAAAGGAAGACCTTTCTCTCTCTCTCTCTCTCTCGATGTCCACTCTGCCTGTCATGACAGTATACCAGATAACAGCTGATGTCAGATAAGAAAGAAGAGAGCTGGATTAGAAGTGGAGCAGTGGCCAGTGCTGTGGCATATGGGTAAAGCCAATGTCTGTGGTGCCAGCATTCCACATGGGAAAGCAGTACAGGATGGCCCAAATCCTTGGGCCTCTGTACCCGTGTGAAACCTGGAAGAAGCTCCTGGCTCCTGGCTTCGGATTAGCTCAGCTGTTGTGGCCATTTGGAGAGTAAACCAGCGGATGGAAGATTCTGTCTCCACCTTGCCTCTCTGTAACTCTGCCTTTCAGATAAATAAATCCTAAAAAAAAAAAGGGGGGGGGGTACAGGATAGGAAGTGGAACAATTGGGATGTGAACTGGTGCCCCCGTATGGGATGCTGGCGTTATAGGTGACAATTTAACCCACTGGACCACAATACAGCCCACCCATGGCAACTGAGATGAAGGTACAACTATTATTGACAACAATGGCTCTTTTTTTTTTAAACCAACATATACCTGAAAATAGATAGTTAAGGATCACTTTCTATTTATAAGATTAACAAATACTTACAGCAGCCAAGGGTGCACCAGGCCAAAGCTAAGATCCAGGAATTTCCTGCAGGTCTCCTACGTGGGTTGCAGGAATCCAGGTATTTGTGCCATTGTCTGCTGCCTCCTAGGTGTTGCACAGGAAGTGGGAAGTAGAGGTACTCCATGCAGGCCTGCAGTCATCCCAGGTGGCAGCTTAACCTGCTATGCCACAGTGCCCACTCTTTAAAGTTGACATGAAATTATCAAATTATTGGTTTATTTTTTTTTTTTTTTTAATTTTATTTGGGAGGCAGAGTCGATAAGTGCTCCCCATCCGTTGGCTCACTTCTGAAATCCACAGGACTAGGCTGGGCTGAAGCCAGGAGTTGAACTCAGTCAAGGTCTCCACATGGGTGGCAGGAAGCTGGAACCAGGAGCCAGAGCTGGGAGTCAACCCGGCATTCTGATACAGGTGTCTTAACCGTGAGGCCAAGTGCCTGGTCCTCTTTGTGATTTCAGTGGACTTCCTACATATATAAAAAGGTTTATATTTCTAAGACAGTGATCAAAATTAGGTTTTTGAAGAGATTTGTATACATGAGGTGAGACAGAATCATGTAATTAAATAAGTGATAATGGTTTGGTTTCTCTTTCAGATACGTCAATGAACACACCCAGAACACAGACTATTGAAGAGGTTCATACTGGTGAGGATCAAGAGGCTGAGGGAAGTGGGTCAAGCAAGGACATTTCCATTTGTCCACAGAGCAGTGCCGCAGCCACTTCTGGGAATGAAGAGGAGGAATTAAAGATGGAGGAAATACCAGCGGACCAAGCCTGTGAAGCTTTGTGCACCTAGGGCTGCTCCTGTGGCCGCACGAGCCTCTGCCTCTGCCTGTTAAGTCATGGCTCTGCAGGCGCAGGAGGAGTATGTGTTGTCTGTGTGTGAAAATCCTTAGGTAGTAAATCTTACGCATATTCCTGTTAACTTTGTCACATTAAACTTATTCTCTTTAGCATTTATTTTTGTACAAGTATGACTTCTAAATAAATGATCACCGGTAAATAAGCAGCAGCTGTTTTGAATGTCTTCAGTAGATTCAGGTGATGTATAATATGTATTTGCATCTTAAAACAACTGTTGCTGTGGAGTGTGTCTATTTTTAAACAGCAAAAATAAAAATTCCTCTTCTCTTTATGAACATTTCTTGTTGCTATTTAGGTCTTTAATTTACACTTTCAGTATATACATATGGTTGACGCTTTACCCAGCCCCAGTGAGTTGAAAATCCACCTCTGGGTCTGCCCAAGTAATTGGGCCATTTTCTCCTGCTTACCTAGGCACATTAGCCAGGAGCTGAATCAGAAGTGGATCAGCTGGGACTTGAACCGGCCAGTTTCAAGCAAGCTTTTAGTTTTTATCCACTGGATCACTCCCCAGATGGCCGCAATGGCCAGGGCCAGGCCAGGAGCATCTTCCCGGTCTCCCACGCAAGTCCACTGCTATCCCAGACCATAGCAGAGCGGCTCAGAAGAGGAGCAGCCTGGACTAGAACCAGGGCCCAAATGGGATGCTGGCACCACAGGTGGAGGATTAATCTGTGCCATGGCGCTGGCCCCAGACTGCAGTTCTCACGTTTGCATCCTACATGAGAGCACTGGTTCAAGTCCCAGTGGCCACTGCGGCCGGTGCACCGCGCTGATCCGATGGCAGGAACCAGGTGCTTCTCCTGGTCTCCAATGGGGTGCAGGGCCCAAGCACTTGGGCCATCCTCCACTGCACTCCCTGGCCACAGCAGAGAGCTGGCCTGGAAGAGGGGCAACCGGGACAGAATCCGGTGCCCCGACCGGGACTAGAACCCGGTGTGCCGGCGCCGCAGGCGGAGGATTAGCCTAGTGAGCAGTGGCGCCGGTCCCAGGAGCTTCTTCTGGGTCTCCCATGTGGGTGCAGGGGTCCAAGGACTTGGACCATCTTCTGCTTTCCCAGGCCGCAGCAGAGAGATGGATTGGAAGAGGAACCACTGGGACTGAACCAGGGCCCGTATGGGATGCCAGCACTGCAGGTGGAGGATTAACCTACTGTGCCATGGCGCTGGCCCCAGACTGCAGTTCTCACATCTGCATCCCACATCAGAGCACTGGTTCAAGTCCCAGCGGCTCCACTTCAATCCAGCTCCCTCTAATGCACCTGGGAAAGCTGTGAAAGGTGGCCCAAAGACTCGAGCCCCTGCACCTGCGTAGGAGACCCAGATGGAGTTCCTGGTTCCTGGTTTTGACCTGGCCCAGGACTAGTTGTTGCAGCCGTTTGGGGAGTCAACCGACAGTTGGCTGAGCCCTCTCTCTCTGGGTCTCCTCTCTCTCTGTTCTTTTTTTCAAATGAATATTTTTTCTAAAAGAGCAAAACAAAGGCGGGGAGGGGGGGACTCTGTGGCATAGTAGTTTAAGCTTCTGCCTGTGGCAGTGGCATTCCATACGGGCGTGGGCTCGAGTCCTGAGCGGCTTCAGATCCAGATCCCTGCTAAGGGCCTGGGAAAGCGGCAGAAGATGGCCCAAGTGCTTGGGCCCCTGCCATGCATGTTGGAGACGTGGATGGAGTTCCAGATTCCTGGGTTGCACCTGGCCCATCCCCAGCCATTGTGGGCATTTGGGGAGTGAACCAGCAGGTGGAAACCTCTCTCTTGGTCTTACCCTCTGTCTGTCTGTGACTCTGCCTCTCAATTAAAAGAATAAATCTTAAGAAAAAAAAAAAGAAAGCAAAAAAGGTTTATGTTATCCTGTCATTTTATAAAAAGTAAAACAGAACAAACACTCTACTGGGATCAGTCTGGCTTCATTTCTGTTGATTTCTGGAGATTCCGTGATTTTTTTCTCTAGTAATGGTTTTGCTGGAGGGTGACTTGCAGACAGGAACGTACACACACTCCGCGAAGCACAGCTGTGTCCCCAGCGTCCTGCTCCAGACGGATGTTCCCAGCTCACCCTCCCCACCTCCCCTCCTCACGGACTGCCCCTCCCCCAGCTGCTGCCATCATAGATCAGGTCTGCTAGTAAAAGACAAGTAGCACTGCTTCTGTCTAGTGCTCCCACATCAGGGCACTGTCCCATTGTATTCCCAAAGATTGTGCCCTTATAAAAAGCTGACAACACATTGTAATAAATACATTTTACATTTATTATTTATGGCAACATATGCCAGATCAAGAGATCGCTGGGAAGATGAGGGCACACAGAATTGATCACTGTCCCAGGGCATCTTAAGCAGATACAGCACTTGAAGTTGTCTCCATAGCAACAGGAGGTGGTTACAAAATTATAACAGTACAATATGTACTACTGTTAATCCTGTACAAATAATGTGTACAGTAAATGTAAAAATAGTCAATCCTGACATTGAAAGTTTCATAGATTGTTCGAAATGTCCTGGATCGCTAGATTCTTCATCTCTTCCAGCAGAGTGTAGAGGCTCTCTCCTTTTGTCTGCTGAAACTGCCTGTATTCTTCAGGGATGTTTTCTTTGCTGTTTTCCTCCACTAACTCTCTCGTGGGTGATGGGGAGCTTTTGGGAGTATGCCTTGCCTCTGGGTCCAAGTATGGTTTCTTGCTTAGTATTTCTAGTCGTAGGCTATTGGGATGATACTGTTGAGCTTGTACAGATATTTTTACCTGTCACAGGAAGAGAAGAGGTGTATCCTGAATTGCATTCTCTGTACTTCCCATTGGAAAGGACACACACACAGCATACATACTGCCTTACCGTAACATGCTCAAAAATCCGGAAAGTGACGCCTTGCCCGCTGGATGTGACACAGTCTGCCTGCTTGTGTGACCTCCAAAGTGCTCCTGGGACCCAGCCAATTTTTTCACCATTGGCCCCAAAATGGAGGACACAGCCATCTTTGGTTTTCAGATTTGCGGTTCCTTTAATCCCATACCTGAATCATTGACAGGTAAGACAGTAGTCTTAGTATGCAGATTTTACACTTACCTACACAGTGTTCCTTTTATATTGAAAGCAAAACAAGTGTTTGCCTGCACCCCATATTGGATGTGCTGGTTCGAGTCCCAGGTATTCCACTTCCCTGCTGGGGAGCAGGTGAATGACTACTGCTTAATATATCCCAAGATCCTGGCCAATTGTGGCCATTTTGGGTGGGAATGAGTGCATGGAGGACCTAGTTCGCATCCTCTTTCATATGAAAAGGAAAGTATGATCCTCATGGAGTTAGAAGGTGCACTGTTCTCCCATCTCCTCTTGCCTTTATATTTATAGTCATGAGTACAATATGTGTATCTGGAACCTCCAGAAGCAGTGGTTTAATACTTGTCTGATGTACTGTGTGTGCTCTCTGCAGCTGAGGCAGGCTTTCTTACTACCTACTGCAGCAGATGGGACATACCTTGGGATGTAGAGCTGTACAGCGGTGTCCCGGAAGGCGTAGATGATACCGTCGGCGACACAGCGCTCATCTCGGTCTGCATCTTTGTCTCTAAAGAAATGGCACTGGAAGAGTTCCGTTGCCTGCCTTTGGCACAGTTTCGCAGCCTGTAAGAAGCCACAGGCCCAGGGCCTGGTCACGGATCCCCTCCACAAGGTTACAGCAGAGAACTATTCCCACAGCCACTGCTCTCTGCTGTCCTGGGAACACCCAGTATTGTTGCCAGTGTTCTGTCTGCGCACCTCTAGACCTGGGAAGGCCATTTCCAGGAACATATCCAGGCCCCATCATGCGAAGTCTAAAAATCTACAATTCTTCTGCGAGGAGCTTCTCTAACGTTTCCTACTGTGAGGGGCTGTGCAGGAACAACCATGCGAATTTTACAGTGCATGGTCCAACAGCAGTGCTGCATCTTATTTCACGAGAAGAACGTTCGTGCAGAACCTCAGTGGTTCTGTCTGTTGTGAACCTTCCTACCTTTTGAGGACAAAGTATCCAGCACAGCTTACCAAGAGGCAATGGCTAAGAATTAAAAATCTCTTACCCTGTGTCGTTCGTTGATATGATCACACAACTCTTCGAGACATCGATCACTTAACAAATTCAACTCAGTTTTTGTTTTATCTTCTGCAATAGCTGCAATCAATAGTCGATGGACTATGATATCAGCATATCGCCTTATTGGTGAGGTAAAGTGAGTATATTTGTCTAAGCCGAGTCCTGTGAAGAGAAACGGAAGGATTGAAGATCAGATTTGCAAACAACTTGCTCCAGGCTATGGCAACACAGGACCCTTTGTCACTCACCGTAATGGTGGAACTCGCGCTCCCGGCAGGAGCCTGTCGAGAAGTATAGTGCGTTGGACATGGCCAGTGTAGCCATGTTCCGCAGCAGCTTGTTGACCATCGGGTCGGAAACGTCGTACGCATTATCCAGTGAAAGCGCCAGGGCCCTGTTGGAACTGACAGAACAGAAGAGCCTGGTTTACTCCAGTCATGGACAAGGCAATGCTTTCAGAAAACCCTCATGTCCCCTCTAAGAACTTCCTCTGCCAGTAGGGAAATGTATTTCATTCACGATCACATTTCAGAAGCAGCTCCTCTCTACTACAGCAGCCTAGAGCTCCAGAAGTAAATTACACTCGAGTTACGTGTCCCTCGAGTTAAGATTGTCCCTGCTGGGGCTGGCATCCCATACAGCTGCTCTACTTCTGATCCAGCTCTCTCTGTGGCCTGGGAAAGCAGTGGAAGATGCCATCCACGAGGCAGACCCAGAGAAAGCTCTTGATCGGCTCAGCTCCAGCCATTGCCACCAACTGGGGAATGAACCAGCAGGTGGAAGACTTCTTTGCCTCTGCCTCTCTGTAACTCTTCTATAATTTTATAGAATTATTGCCCCAGCATAACACCTCCTAAGATGCACAAAGAATCCCGAGTTTAAGTAGGTCTAGGAACAGGCATTGAGGCATAACAGGCTAAGCCTCCACTTCTGATACTGGCATCCCATACGGCTTGTGATCCAGCCTGGCGCTCCTACCTTGTATCAATGTGGAACCCTCCGGCCTTGGCGCTCTGCTTGAGCTCTGAGAAGAGGTTCTGGCGTGGAGGCGGGTGCCGGCGCAGCAGGGCCTGCCTGGGGAAGCTTTCGTAGATTTTCCTGGCCACCCAGTGGTTGGCGAGTATCATACACTCTGCCACCATTCGATGGATTCTACGTTGCTGCCGGGGGACGAGGTCGAGAATGTTCTTCTCTTCATCTAACAGCACACTGATTTCAATGCCGTCCAGATCTAAGGCACCATCAAGACCTCGCTGCGCCCGGAAGTGGCTGGCTATGTCAGCCAACTTTTCAATCGCCCATGTTAGTTCCTGCAGCCTGTCTTCTTTCTCCTTTTCTTCCATGTCCTGGAATTCTTCGATGTTACCTGTGATGCTCAAGTTCCCATCTAGGAGCTCCTGAGCTGCTTCGTAGGAGAGTTGGTATGTAGAATGGATAATTGACCTTCCGTACCACACCTTCTTAATTTCGTAGGTCGTCATATCCAGTTCCCAAATGACACTCATAGCGTATCTATGAAAGCAGTAACAATGTCACTATTCATCTTTGTAGCAAGAGAACTGAACCTTAATGTGATTTGACTGAAATGACACTACAGGTTTCTGGTCAACTTTAGTTCAACTAGACAGAAATGAGACATATCATCCAGACATTGGTTCATTCCAAATACCCACAATAACCTCAACTGGGGCAGGCGTTAAGCCAGGAGCTAGGAAATCCCATCAGGTCTCCAGGTGGCAATGGCCATCTTCTGCTGCATTCCCAAGCTTCCTAGCAGGAACGTGGAATGGAAGTGGAGCAGCCAGGACTGGTGTTGGATGTTGATCCAAGTGCCAGGGCCAGTGCTGTGGCACAGTGGCCAGTACCATGTGGCAGTGTCAAGGATGTAGTTCCAACCCTTCTATCAAATGGGCAAAGATAAGCAGACAAGGTGTTGTTTGCAAGCCTATGGTAAATTAAGCACTCTCCTGCACTGCTGGTGAGCAAGTGCCTGGTGTGATCCCTGAAGGCAATTCGATCCTAGTCACACTGACGCATGGGCCCAACTCAGATTCCACCTCCTGAGATTCCTCCCTGTCCTTCTGAACACGCAAAATTCAGTGCAGCTTTGCTTATCACAGGAAAATGGGAAAGTACCTGAATTTCCAGTTATTAATGTGGAATTCTCACAGACACATGAACTGCTAAGTTTAAAAGGATCCTGGCCCAAGTGCTTGGGCCCCTGCCATTCACTGTCTTTCAAATAAAATAAATACAGAGAGAGAACAGAGGTGAGAGATGAGGAGGGACAGGGAGGCTAGGGCAACAGGATCAGGCATTCAGGTCGGGTACAGACCAACACAGGGTGGCTGGGGAGGAGAACCAAGGGCTACAGTCGTAGCTCACCTATCAACACCACGCAGCAAAGAGCACAAGTTGGAGCTAAGGACGGAGGGCAGCATGTCATAGCGCCGGTCGGGCAGGTAGTATGTTGTGGCCCTGGAAGACACACAGGCAGTGAGGTGACTGTCAGCAGACATAGGCCCACGGGCTGCAGGGTCCCACAGGGAGGAGGTATCCAAAAATCACTGCCCAGAATCCATGGCTGTTTGCCTTTTTCATCAAGTGCAGCAGCCTGGGTGATGAAATGATTCCCATGTACCCACTTTGCTCTGACACTGCTGGGGGCACATTCTTCCAGGGAAAGCAAACTGACATCAATCTTGCTCATGGAAACCAAATTGGAGTGTAATGACCCCATGCGTTACATAAAATAACACATTCCTATGTGAAAACTTAGCCCATGACACGTTTGTGGGAGACAGGAAAGGCAAGCTGGCCCAGTCACTGTTCTCTAGTTGGTGTGTGTGTGGGGGGGGTGTTCCTGGATGAAACCATCAGCAAGGCACCAACAGATTCATCTGAAAGTGGCAGGCATTCCAAGACCTGCACACAGCCTTACCTAGCCCTAGCTTCCTTATCCAGGTGAGATTTCGGCTTCACGAAGTAGGTTACATCTGCTATGTGAACGCCCAGCTCCAGGTTGCCGCTGCTCAGAGTGCGCACGGACAGCGCGTCGTCCACATCTTCACACCCTTTCGGGTCAATTGTAAAGACAAGATGTGTTTTCCTTAGATCTTTCCGATCTTGTTCTTCGTGGTCCACGCTCCAAGGCTTCTCTGCGGTGTTCACTGGCAACTCGCCCATCTGCAAGAGAGGCCACCTTCTCAGCCATTACGCCTCCTCTCACCCTCAGGGGCTCAGTTCCATTCTGCGTCATCCTGTGCTGTGCCTCCTGCCCTGGAGACTCTGGGGGTTTGACAGGAGACCTCCCACCAGCCTTGTTAGGGGACTGGAGCCAGCAGGAGTGGCAAATCCTTGGGCCCCTGCACCCACGTGGGAGACCTGGAAAAAGTTCCTGGCTCCTGGCTTCGGATCCGCACAGCTCCAGCTGTTGTGGCTGTCTGGGGAGTGAACCATCGGATGGAAGACTTCTCTGCCTCTCTTCTCTGTGTAACTGCACCAAAGTATGGGCCTTTCTCTCCCTGTCCCTGTCTTGACCATCAGCTTGCAGTTAGTTGAGGCTAACAGGGAAGAGAGAATTCTTGTCCTGTGACCTCTAAACCCACTTTATGGAATCATTCTGTAAGAGCTGCCAAACAAGTCAACAAAATACTACTGTAAAACATGAAAATTTAAACGACATAAAGCAGTCTCAAATATTTGACAATTATAGCTCTGGATCAGCCAAAAACTCATACCCCTAATGGCAGTGCAAGCTGGGAAACAGTCTGCCAACAAGTAACAAAGCTACTTCAACGTTCTATGCCCTTTGACTTGGAAAAGGTAATCCTTACCGTGAGATTACCAAGGGAAGGATTGACCAAATTAACGTATAATGTTGCTATAAATGAGAAGTAGCATTCTATACTGAATAGAAATAACAGGCAAATAGCCAAATGGCTGAGCATGCAGGGGCACAAATACAGTAATTTACCATCAACTTTTAAAACCAAGTAGGTTTCTTTTGCTTAATTATTACACATTGGCAGAGCTTATCAGTGAATAGCACATTCAAGAGAATAGCTTATTATCTGTTTCTAATGATGTGAAAGTGATGGAAAAGCCAATGTGTTGTGTTTGTGGGCTTTCTGTTTTCTGTAAAGTTTAAGAAAGCTTCATAATGAGCATTGCTTTCAGACCTAAGGCTCAGACATGCATCCTGTTGCTGGGGTTGAATGATGGGTAGATGGGGCTCTGCTGGGGATACAACCAGCTATCCTCGAATTGCCAGGTGGACCTGTCCTGACCGTGAGACACTGACCTGCCACTTTGAAACATAGTTGTAGGACATACAGATTTGAGAGCTACACTTCAAACTGACTTGGGTCTGATCGAGGGTTATCTGTGGCTTCACAGTGGGTCGCTGTGTGCATAACGTGTCTGTCGTTAGACCAAAGGCCTCCGGGAATCTGACCTGGGCTTCAGAGAAGGGCCGCTCGGAAATGTCATGTTCCATGAGCAGAGACTTCATTTCCCCTTCCAGGTCTCCGCCTGTTCCCAGGGTTCCTACGACGTGTCCGTCTGGATACCTCGAATCCGTGTCCCAGGAATCAATATGTATAATTGCTCTGCAAAACTGCAGGAGAAGGTACATAAATTATTAGCCTCGCATCCAGGGTTCCGTGGGTTATTAAAAGCATTAGCTAACGAGAGATCAGAGACAGTTCTATAGAGGGTGGCCAGTCTGCAGGGTGGTGTGTTGCTGGCGAGTTTGACTTGCCAGATGGTATGGTGCACACTTGCAGCACAAGCTGTGAACACAATGGTGCAGGGTTCAGGGAAAGTTCTAGAACCTAGGTCTCAGATTGTAGGAGGTATTTCGAAGTTTTAAGGTCCTTTTGGGTGGGGGCATCAGTGTCAACAGGACCCTCACTGTCTAGCAGTTTCAGCAAGCCATTGAAACAGGCCTCTGGGAGCCTGTAACAGGGCTTAAGGTGTACAAGAGACAATGACCAGGCTAGTGGGCTGCATAGCTGGAGGCAGGTGATGCTGGACAGTGCCTAGTCTTGTCTTCCCTCCCACCTATATTCCTTCACAGATAATCGATTCTCTGAAGAGCTTCCACATCATCCCTACAAGGCACAGGGCTTGTATTTCTACCTTGCTTGCTGGAAGAAAGCTAGTTAGTGTTGGCAAGGTACAGCTGTTGGAAGCTTCTCCATTGGTCAGAATGTGTTTTCTCTCTGGCTGTCCTACAGAGTGCTTTCTAGGACACTCAAGCCTTCATTTATTAGCCTTAGACTACTTAATAGATGGTACCTATATATTTAGAATTTAACCAACAGTACCTTGGAGTGCCAGATGCCATCCATAATTTATGAGCAAAGGAATTAACAATGCTTTCTGGCACTGATCAAGAAGCTGGCAAAGACAGAAGCAGGGCAGCCATGGTGCAGTGTCCTTTACCTGATATTTTTCAGCTTGCTTCCTGCTGATTCGAATTCTGGGGATCCTATAATCCCATGGCACAGCAAGGTATTTCTTTGTTTTTCTGCTGTAATATAGTATGTCTTCCTTTGATGGGAATGTTACTATGTAATCCCGCTTATGTTTCTGAGTAATGCCCACCACATGTCCTGTGGAAAACAAATCACAAGGGTTAGCCAGCTAGCTGCCATCTAACTGTCCCTGTCCCATTTTTCCAAGCACTTTCACTTAATTCAAGGGAATCTGAAGATTTGCCTTCTTAGCAATTTTAAAGATGTAGATGCCCGATTTTTTTTACATGGATAATTTTGGTAGTTTTCTATGGGTTCGGAGGTGACATTTGGAATCCAGTGGTCCTGCTTTTTCCTTTACCATTACCTCACTGATTTCGGGTTTCAGTATCTTGGAAATGTCAAATCATTTTCACCCTTTTTTTATTGAAGAAATAAACTTGTTGCGGCCAGCACTGTGGTATAGCTGGGTGAAGCCATAGCCTGCCAAGCAGGCATCCCACGGTTGCCTGTTCATGCCCTGGCTGCCGATTCAGCTCCCTGCTAACGGCCCAGGAAAAGCAGCAGAGGATGACCCACGTGCAACCCCTGTAGGAGACCTTGATGGAGTTCTTGGCATAGAACTATCACTTTTCATTTCAAAATAATTAAACTATTTAAATATGCTTATAGAGAGGCAGAGAGAATGAGTTCACATCCATCTGTTAGTTCACTCCTAAATACCCACAAGGCTAGGGACAGCAAGGAGCCAGAATCTCACTCCAGGTCTCCTATGTGGGTGACAGGAACCTGACCTGGGCCATCACCACTGCCTCCCAAGTATTAGAAGGAAGCTGGAATCTGAGCCTATATTGAACCCAGGTATTTCGATGTGGTATGCAAAAGGGCTGGAGGTGGCAGCTGCTTTGAATAATGAACAGAGCACAGGCTGGAATGCAATGAGAACTTGTTTGGGGAAAGTGGTAACCATGTGTCCCATGCCGTTTACCTCCTCGATGCAGCCATTCTACAATATGTACATACATCACAATTTGTCTGCCACTTTAAATAAAATTCCTTATTCTTGGATTGCTAATGAGAAAGAAATACCCAATTCTGTACAAAGGTTGGATGCCAGGGTGGCATCGCTGGCTCACCTGTGGGCACATATTCACTGTAGCCCTCGTGATCCGCGCCCATTCTCCTTTTCCAGAGTGATTCAGGGAACATTTTCACTGCTACCCGGTCTCCGTGGAGCGCGCGGTTCCGGGGATTTATCCCATCGATTAAGATTTCATAATCTAGTGTTTGGGGCAGCAGAGAAATCGTGATGTCAAGGGGGCTTCCACTCCAGGGAGGCTGAGTCCCCCTGTTCACCCCCTCACCCTTTGAAGGCAGAGCCACACTTCTGTGCTTCTGCAGGATGGGGCTGGAGGCCTTCTGCTCTCCTCGGGGCCACTTCCTGCCCCTCTCCTGCCCCTCTTCCCACCCATTTCATGCTCCTTGCACTATCCAGGCTTTTCCCTTTCTCCACCCATAGGTCATTATGAACTAAGAACTATACTCCATCTCAGTACAACTTATTTACCTTTTTGTCTCCCCCCATTTGGATTCCTTTCGAAACCTGGGGGAGCTGACAGAACAGAGGCAGGACAGAGCAATGTTTTTAAACCACAGCCACAGAGCCTTGGATCCAAGCTCAGCTTACTAGTTCTGAGACCTTAAGTAGAAATGTAGGGAACCCCTCTCCACACACCCCCCCACTGGGTACCATGAGATTGGGGTGTCATAGTTACACCTTTGCTTCCTTGTTGTTGTGTGCTATCAAGTCAGGTGGAAATGTACGTAAGGCTTATATACTGTACCTTCTTCACTCTGATCGGTGTCCTGCACGCGGACAAATGCTTCCATTTTTGTGTGTTTATTAACATACAATATTCCCTAAAACCGGAAAAAAAATCAATGTGGTAAACAGTTTTTCTGCCTATTTTCCTTCCAAATGCTAACACCTATCCACGTGGTCAGGAGCCCCGAACAAATCTTCTCTCAAAACCAGTGACGTGAGACATTTACAAAACTGCTCCTGCTCTGGTCTCAGGGGAGGCTCAGGACACAACACAACGAACGGCATCTTTCCAGAGTGGCCACCAACTGGACAGCCAACACCTAGAGGGACAAGGGCCCAAGGCTGCAAGCACGTCCACTGTCCTGTCTTGCCTGTTCCCATCTGGTTTGCAGCCTCAGACAGGAGGGGAAGGAAACACACAGCTGTTGCTTCTTCATGCAGCCCTCACCTCCACGTAGCGGCCAGATTTTAGTCCAGCCTCTAAGATGTCCGGGGGGAGATATTTGTTGTAATTAATTCCTGAGGCTTCCAAGCTCTCCAGTTTTTCTTCATATAGGGCCTCATCAATGAAGTCACATGAGTTGTGGGCAGCCTCCAGATCCGAATAGAACTTATTTAGATATTCCTGTGTTGTACAAAGGCATGGAGAAACAGGATCAGAACAGAACTGTGCGGTAGCACTATCCAATTCCCGGCTGGCACTGCTGTCTGCAGGGTGAGGAATGAAAGCCGTCCCCTCCTGCGCCTCATGCTGCCACTGAGTGGTTTTCTCCCTTCCTGTTAAAGACAGACTCAGAGGAAGCCCAGGGCGGCGGCGTTAGGGACCAGGACTTAGAACCTTGAAATCTTTCCGATTGCACTTTGTATGGACCTCATGGCTACACATAATGGCCTACAGAAGGCAGAGGCAAAAGCTCCTCTTCATATGCTGTTTTAAAAATTATTTGAGGGGCCGGCGCCGTGGCTCACTTGGTTAATCCTCTGCTTGCAGCGCCAGCATCCCATATGGGTGCCAGGTTCTAGTCCCGGTTGCTCCTCTTCCAGTCCAGCTCTCTGCTGTGACCTGGGAGAGCAGTGGAGGATGGCCCAAGTGATTGGGCACTGCACCCACATGGGAGACCAGGAGGAAGAACTGGGCTCCTGGCTTCAGATCGGTGCAGCGCAGGCCATAGCGGCCATTTGGGGGGTGAACCAATGGAAGGAAGACCTGTCTCCCTCTAACTCCACCTGTCTAATATTTGAAAGCCAGAGTGACAGGAGCACACAGATCTTGCATCCTCTGCTTCACTTCCCAAATGACCACAGCCAGGGCGGAGCCAGGCTGAATCCAAGAGCCTCGAACCACCATGTGGATCTGCCTTGTGAGCAGCCATCACTCGTTGCTTGCCAGGGGCATTTTCAAGAGCAGCCATGCATTTCCATGTGGGATGCCAGCCCTGCAAGTGGTGGCTTAATCCTCCTATGGAGTCTTAGCTCACGTCTGTGTTGAAATTGAAAAGCAAATAGGTTGTCCTCAGTGTCAGCATTTCTCCCATTCATTCCGGATCCTGTGTTAACTGCTGTTCTTCCCTTGGTCCTTTCAGAAGTTTTGTCTATGCTCACTTCAGTGCCTCCATGCTATGGTCACTGGCCACTTATCAGCACCAAACTTGTCATTATGGGCCACCTTGTCTCAGTGCTTCTCCATCTAACTTCAAGTCTCCAAAGATTCTGGCCTTCCCTTTCATCTAAACTCAAATCTTTTCTTCTGCTATCACTCACCTTGAGGGGGGGCACAATTTGAGATGCTACACACAATGAGAAGTAGAAGTGTTCTATACTGCTGGACTACAAAGAAAAGTAATTCTCTCAAAAAGCAAAGAAATGTAATTTTTACGACTGTCCTTTGCAAGGACAAGACATGATATATTGCAACAGAAAAAAAACCAATGACACTGCTATTAATATCTAGCACCCCTGGAATTCTCTGGCATGCCAGAACATTTCTTTATAGCAAGGCTACAAAAATCCCATTGGCAAATCTTTAGTAATACATGCACCTGGGAACCCTTATAGAATCTACAATTCAGAGTCCAGCTAGGGTTTCTGTAAATCCAGTGATCAGAGAGTCATCAAGTTTTTGCCTAGCAGGATGCGCCAATGTGGCAGACAAAGACAGCACACATGGACCGAGATTAGAAGCAGCCATCCTGTTCCCTAAAAAGGCATCCAAGGCATTCTAGTCCTGGTCGGGGCACCGGATTCTGTCCCGGTTGCCCCTCTTCCATTCCAGCTCTCTCCTGTGGCCCGGGAGTGCAGTGGAGGATGGCCCAAGTGCTTGGGCCCTGCACCCCATGGGAGACCAGGAGAAGCACCTGGCTCCTGGCTTTGGATCATTGCGATGCAGCCACTGGAGGGTGAACCAACGGCAAAAAGGAAGACCTTTTCTCTCTATCCACTCTGCCTGTGGGGAAAAAAAAAGCACCCAAGGCAGAGGGTGAACAGTGTTGCTACAACAACCCTCAAGACTGTCAGTGGTAATGCCACCCCCGTCTGCACCCGGGCCAAGCTGATCTGACAGCTTTCAATTCACATCTCAATCGCCTTCTGCAATGCATGCAGAAATTGGGGGTGGGCTCATATCCAGGCACAGCATGCCAAGCCGCTGCCTGCAATGCCAGGCATGTGTGTAGGTTCGAGACCTTGCTTCTTGGCTTCCAATCCTGCTCCCTGTTCATGTACCTGGGAAGGCAATGAAACATGGTCCAAGTGCTTGGGCCCCTGCCACTCATGTGGGAAACCCAGATGGAGTTCCAGGCTCCTGGCTTTGACCTTGCCCAGCTCCAGCCATTTACCTATTTGAGGAGTGAACCAGTGGACAGAAGATCTTTGTCTCTGCCATTTGAAGAATACACATATAGCATGGCTGAGCATAGATAAATGTTGGACATATTACCCTTAGTGCAAGCCAGGTTCAACTATTGTTGGATCATCACTAAGAACATTGCCAATATTTTTTTGACAGGCAGAGACAGAGAAAGGTCTTTTTCCATTGGTTCACTCCCAAGTGGCTGCTATGGCTGGCGCATTGCCTCCTGCGTGCTGCAAGGAGCCAGGTGCTTCCTCCTGGTCTCCCATGTGGGTGCAGGGCCCAAAGACCCGGGCCATCCTCCACTGCCCTTCTGGGCCAGTGCAGAGAGCTGAACTGGAAGAGGAGCAACCAGGACAGAATCCAGCACCCCAACCGGGACTAGAACCCGGGGTGCCGGTGCCGCAGGCGAAGGATTAGGCTAATGAGCCCCGGCGGTGGCCAAAGCATTGCCAATATTATACAGACTGTCAATCATTGTCATTACTAATACTGTAATGGTGATTCATATTGGCATCCTGCCAACAGGGGCATATTGAGCTGGTCTTGAATGCTGTGAGCCTTCCAGACAGAGTTCACCTGAATATTTTCAGGTGAAGATTAGCTGGGTAGCAAGATAGACATGGAACTTCTTAAAGCTCTACTTTTTCTGTGTTGCCAAAGGGATCTAGACCCGAGGAGCCACATTGAACACAGCAATGTATACCACAGCTGGAAATACCTTGAATGTCATTACATATACTCCTTTGCTCTTCACTTTGTATCTCTTAGTGGAATCTTCATCGGCCACTATGATGATGGGTATCTTCTCCCCGCAGTGCTTATAATACCATAAAGCCGCGGCGTAGATAATCCTGGAACAAAGCACAGGTGAGCCCTCACACTGCCAGAATTTCACCAATCTGCCATCCTCTGGTCTATTCAGACCATTTGTGCATTCATTCATCCCAAAAAGCTTTGAGCTTCTAATATTGATAAGCCCCGAGAGACACAAAGAGGAATCAGAATTTGCATTTCTTCCTTGAGACACTCTTTTCTGCCATATTTTAGCACCTTTTAACTAGAGGGCTCGCACACAGCACCCCACACGATGCCTTGGGAGGCCTACAAGATTTACAAGTTAATCTTTGGCTAAATAGACAAGGCTGCAAGCAACTGATCCAATAGACCATGATCCAATAGAGTCTGAAACTGAACCGTAGAAAATGCCCAGAAATCAGCTGCAAAGTACTTGAACACAGTTCTCAGACCCAGGCTGCGCTTCCAAGACTGGGTTGTAAGCACAAGAGTGCCCAACGTGGATAAGTGTGGGCAGCCACAGGTAGTCACTCCCTTTGTTTACACTTAAACATATGAATGGAGACTTCTCGGGCACAGACAATTGGGCTAGGGAGATTCCGGGAAGAGGCAGGAAGAACCTAAACCTTTCACAAGAGATGATACAGATAATCAGTCACATCTGTAACCTGCATTTATCACCTCAGTGTTTTATTGTACCCTTGTAATCAATAATTAAGAACCTTATTGGGAACTCTTTGTAACCTTAAGAGCCTTTTTGATATGTAAATCTTTTGTGTGGGGAGCAATCCGGACTAGACTAAGTTACTCGAATTAGGACTTATTCTATGCATCTGCTCTCCCACAATATGGCGCTGGGAGAGAAGTAAACAGCTTCCGCACAGCTGCCTCCAGTTCAACTAATAAACTGTAGGACTTGCTCCTGATTGGAGAGCAGCGTACTCGGCGTGTGGGCAGCCGAGTTAGGATTGGCGGAGGAGGACTATAAAGGAGGAGAGAGACGGCATGCACCGGGAACATCTATGGGGAACATCTAAGGGAACCCGTGCAGCCCCCCAGAAAGCCGGCCGGCGGTGTGCCGCTCCCCTGCGGAAGTGGGGAATGTGGCCAGGGGGAACTGCCCTTCCACGGAGGTGGAAGGGATAGTAGCCAACCCGGGAAGAACCAGCAGCAAACCCGGGGAGGGCCGAGCAGACAGAAAGAACAGCGCAGGGTCCTGTGTTGCTCCTCCACGAAGAGGGGGAGCGACACTTTTGTGCTCCTTCTTGTAAACAACTGGTCATGTTTAAATACTACTGGATTCATTCAATAAACGAGCCTTGATCAGGACTTGTCTTGGCTCCATTCTTTGCGTCCTTGTCCCCGCATTCCCACTCTGTTTCAGGAAAACCCAGTTCATTGTGCCGCAGGCCGGCACAGATAAGCACTTCAGTGGTCCTCAGGGGTCCCTGTTGATGCTTTTTCCTTTCAGGTCTTGTCCCCTGAGAAAACTTGGGGCTGCAGTAGCACCCAGTATATACCCATTCCTAGGTGCCTTTGCAGAACTGACGTGTTTAAGAACTATAGCACATCAGTCGTACAAGGAAAAGATGACCTTGATGTTCTATACGGTACGGGTTTTTTTGGTGTCCTAGCACCTGTACCCTGGGCTCACCTCGATGAGGGGCCACTAGAGTCCACACAGCTCAGGAATGTCCCAGCTTTTGGGTGCAGCGAACCCAATGCCTCTGCACCTGGGATGACTTCTGAGGCACATACTGCATGGCATCTCAGAGGCCACTCTGCAGTGGCAGCTGGCCCTCATGTCACTCCATCAGCTGGCCATCGTGTCCTAGCGCCATCTCTGGGTATAGCTCCCACCCAGACACTGCATATCTAAGCACTTGCACTGGGCTCTGCTGCTTAGGATGGATCTAAATGAAGCCACCACACTTTCTCCAAGAGCTTTCAGAATTTTAATCTAGCAGTTTTCAGTGGGTCTAGCTAGGACTTTGGAACAACTCAATGAGCAACAAATGAGCAGATTATCTTATTAGCTTAAAAGCAGGGCCCCTTGTCCCCACACCCATGCCCCAAACATTGCATTTTGCCTTCTAGATCACCAGCATAATCCTGCAGTTAGGGTCTGGGGCAAACTCCCGCTGGCTACCTAGATCTTCCTCATTTCGATTTCTAGAATATTTCAATTACATATTCAAATGACATATCTAAAATACCAACATAATGCGCATTTTGGTATCACGGTTCCCCTAAAAAACTCCTGGTCTGTTTTACATACCATTGAGATCAACTTCCAATGAGGCAGCAAGAGATGCCCACATGAAAACCCACAGCAGATGACCATACCTTTTCTCCCAATCTTTCTTCAACGTTTGCTTTTCCCGAGCGTGGTAGCATGAAACATGGTACTCATTTGCGAAGAGCACGCATTCATGGCTCGGGTCCTTGAGGAGGCTCCGCAGCTTGTTACAGTACCTGTGACGTGGGGGAGACGAGTCAGCGCACAGCAGGCACGCATCTCCATCTCCGGCTGGGGCTTGCTAACCCAAGCCGAGCTTTTGTATGATTTTTTTTTTTTTTTGACAGGCAGAGTGGACAGTGATAGAGAGAGACAGAGAGAAAGGTCTTCCTTTGCCGTTGGTTCACCCTCCAATGGCCGCCGCGGCCGGCGCGCTGCAGCCGGCGCACCGCGCTGATCCGATGGCAGGAGCCAGGAGCCAGGTGCTTTTCCTGGTCTCCCATGGGGTGCAGGGCCCAAGCACCTGGGCCATCCTCCACTGCACTCCCTGGCCACAGCAGAGGGCTGGCCTGGAAGAGGGGCAACCGGGACAGAATCCGGCGCCCCGACCGGGACTAGAACCCGGTGTGCCGGCGCCGCTAGGCGGAGGATTAGCCTAGTGAGCCGCGGCGCCGGCCTTTGTATGATTTTTCTGCCCAGCTCCACCTGTCCCTTCCAGCAGAGTACAGTACTTTTTGTACCTTGGGAAGCATTAACATTTTACTTCTTGCTGGCAGCCCTAGGAAAGGCAAGATAATCCCAGCCACACTAGCCTGTGCCATAAATCAATGATAAAGTCTCACAGGGCCAGTTTCTAAGAAGGTGCTTTGTAATAGTTAAGGTTATATAAAATCACAGAAAACATTTGCCTATTTTAAAGGGATCAAGGTACATGTCCATATTGGAGAGCTGCTTCAAGACCCGGCTGTTCTGCCCCAATCCAGTTCCCTGCTTACGCTGCTTGGGAGGAAGCCAAGTGATAGCCCAAGTCCCTGGGTGCCTTCCACCCCTGTGGGAGACATGGAGCTCCAGCTCTGTCACTCTTTCAAATAAAGAAATTTTAGTACAGAGCAGGTGAGGGCAGTTAGTGCTTAGTGGGTACCCTGACATCTTCAGATCCCAGCCATACAGCTTCCCGTTAGACCCCAGAAGAGATCTGTCATCTACCAGTTTACTCCCTAAATCACAATGGCCAGCCCTCGCTCAGGCCAAAGAAGCTGCAGCTGGATCTCCCACCTGGGTGCAGGGGCCCACTCCTGCAGCCTCCCAGGGCTCAAACCAGCAGGAAGCCAGACTGATCCGTGAGAACATCCCAAGCACCAAACACCTGCCCCAACCTTGCTCCTTTCATCTAATCCCAGGAAGTCAACAGGTTTGTGGTAAGAGGGACTAAGACTGCGTGCCCTAAGGCCTCGGAACAGCTCAAAAAGTGCTTACTACATGGAAAGCCCAGGGTGTCACCTGGAAGCCTCTTTCCTAACTGCTCCTCCCTTGTTTTCACATTTAGTATATGTGAGACAGGACTAAGCAGTGGAAAAACCAATCCTTTTTCATCAAGTTCACTCATTTCGAAATGTTCAAGAGAAAAGACATTTAAATACCCATGCTTCGCCTTTGAATGTCACAGGAATTGGTTTGGAAAGCAATCCTTAATATTAAAAATATTTTAGAAAACAGGTTGAAAAGGCTCGCAGTGTGTTAGCAATGGGAATATAACAGCAAATTGATTTTAGTAGCAGAAATATGACGCCTGGAGCAGCATTTAAACCTGGATATGAAAAAATATATCTTTGTGTCTGAATAAAATAAACTTCACACTCATTTTAAAATATTCAATCTGGAAAAGCCTGTAAACAATCCAGCTAATGCATATTTTTTTAAAAAAAACTGACCATTATCTTAAGGATAATTTATCATTTTCACACAAATAAACACCTCACTTTTTACCACCAAGATCTGAAAAGAAAATTCCAAAATTTCTGCTTATTTAATAACTCGGGGTATTAAGAGGTTGGATATGCCGTTAGCATGCCACGGCTGTACGCCTCAAATCAAAGCATAGACACTTTCCCCAGTGGTTAGCTGTTTTAAAAAATAAGTTTAGGGGCCAGCTCTGTGGCGCAGCAGGTTAACTCCCTGGCCTGAAGCACTGGTATCCCATATGGGATGCTGGTTGAGTCTCAAATCTTTTCTGTGGAGCTGGGGGATGGTGATCAATACAAACATACCTCCACCCTCTTTTCGAATGTAGAGCGTCAGTCACAGTTTGCAGCCAAATCACGCCCTTCAATTCCGGCATTTCCAAGATTTCAAAGTAATCGAAAACTGAGCTGTCTGGCACCATGTAATGGGTCACCTCTGCAGGTAAGAGTTTGCCCACTGAAACACAAAACAGAAGAGATCAGAGAACATTTAACCCTAGGTCATCCACAGGGGCAAAACAACTTCCGGGCACTTTGTACATAACGACAGGCCCGGGGTTCAGCCAAACTGGGCAGCTTCATCGTGTTTCGAAGCTGCGAGAAATGTGGGCTCCGCAGGGTGGGTGGCGTGTACGCTTCTGCGCGTTAACCACCTGCGGACGCCCCGCAAGGTCAGGGCCAGCTTCTGGAGGGAAGCCCAGGGCCGGCTGCCTAGAAACGACGCCCGGTGCAAGCCGCGTGCAGTGCAGGGCTGTCCACCCTGCCCCGGAGCTGCATGGAGGAGCCCCCTGGCTGCGCTCCCCGTGCCCCTGCGGGGAGGGGACCCGGCCATCACTGGAGAACCCCAGAGGGCAAGGTCTGGCGCGCACAGCTCCACACCAGCTTCGCCCCGCTACCCCCACCACGCCAGCCCGGTTCGCGAGCCCGGCCGTGAAGCGGGTTCTCCCCCACAGCCAGGTGGGCGGCGTCAGCGCTGTGGAGCGGGCAGGCCGCGCGCCGCCTCTGCCTCTGCGTGGGGCTGGCCGCCCCGGCCCTTCCCGCCGCAGGATCGCACCGCCCTGCGCACGGGAAGAGGCAGGCTGCGGGGGCCCTCGGGCCGCTCGAGCGAGCGCCAGGCTCTCCCTCCGGGGTTTCCACGAGGCAGCGCGGAGTCGTCAGGGAGCTCCGTGCGAGGAGCGCCCCGGCGCCCGCGGGCCTGGGCCTCTCTCGCCTCGGTGCCGCGGCCGGGGCCTCGCGCTCCGCCTCCCGGCCCTGCCTGGCGCGCCCGGCGCCTCTCGCCCCGCGCCGCCCGCCGCCCGCCCGCCCGGCCCTCGGCGAGCGCCTCTGACCGTTGCAGCAGTACTCGGGCTGGGAGCACAGCGCGCTGTTACAGGGCACGCAGGGCCGCAGGTAGTGTTCTCTCACGACCCGCAGCGGACAGCGGTAGACGGCGTTCACCGTGATCACTCGCTCCGTCTTCTCCAGCATGTTTCCCTCGCCCGTTCTCCAGTAACCCGACGAGCTGGGCGAGCAGGCGGAGACGAGGCCGAGGTTTGAGGCCCGCCCCTCGGCCAGGGCGCCGGACACCGAACCCGCCGTAGCGGCCTCCTCTTCGGAGTGGATGAGACGAGGCCATCTTCCAGCATCTGTGTCGCTCATCTTGCTGCTGCTGTGGGGTCTTGGAGCTCAGGAAAGAAGGTTGTCCAAAAGTGATGGGGTAAGGTGGAGGGCAGCGCGTTTATAAACTCTTGGGTTGAAAGGTTTAGGGCGACCAGATGGGATTATCCCGCCTTTGGGACTATCGCACCCATGGGTGTGGATCAGGCTGCTAAGAATGCTGAGTTTCGGTGAATAAGACAACAACCCTCCCAACCCAACGATGCCCCCTTAAAAAAGGCAGTCTCTATTCTGACTTGCATGTGTCTTTTATACTGGCAGAAATTCAAACCATGTGGGTAAAATGAGTAGCAATCCTGAATTTGGAGGTGCTGTTGGGCCCTAATTAAACAGCCCCTGGCCAAGCAATGCTTAGAACTGCCAGGGGCGGGCACCTGGGGGCATGTTTCCAATCTGATAACTTCAGCCCCTCCTGAGCTGACACACCCTTGGTGGAGAGGGGGCCCACCAGTTTGCCTCCAGGCACTTAACCACAGCCTTGGAAAAGCAGCACAGGCCTGCATGGGTCCCTTTTGAACTCACTCCAGGTCAAAGGCGTGGGGCGTCACTATGACCATTTTATAGACTATGATGGGGGTGAAGGCCAGGGCTCCCCGGTTATTAGCTGGGGCGGTCACCAGTGAATCAGGACAGGTCTACAGGTGATGGCCATGTTGTTCACAGAGGAATGAAACAGAGGCGCTTCACCTGGGGAGGTGATTAGAGGGTACCCGGTGAAGGTGCGTGAAGGCAGCTCAACCAAGGGGCTGGAGCACGCGGCCCCCTCCCCCACCCCGATGCTGCAGTGGGCAGGCCTAGGGGTGCCCGCTCACCCACTCACTCACTCCAGGTAGCAAGCTACTCTGCAAGTGTCAGAGGGTGTGGACAAGATCCAACATGGAGCTGCATCAAAGAGGCAGACAGCGCAGAGCCGGCCAGCAGGCCACAGCACTGAAAAGCCCAGAAGGCAACCGCCACTGCCAGAGGCCCCTTCTCCCTCAGGAGGTCCATGCTAGGGACCCCAGAGGGCGGGATGTAGCCACAGTTGTCCCTATATAAAAACGCTTCTGGATTCACGGGAAGCCTGTGCTTGGGCTGTTTGTGGGTGTAGCTGGCAGCTCCTCACTTTTGGGTAATGGCGTCTGGTTGGTGGCCGCGGCCCCTGGACTGGGATGTACCGTGCTCCCAGTGAAGGCAGGGGAGCTGAGCCTGAGCCATGGCCAGTACAGTGGTAGCGGGCGGATTGACCATTGCTGCTGCAGGATTTGCAGGCCGTTATGTGTTACAAGCTATGAAGCATATGGAGCAAGTTTTTCAAAGTCTACCAACATCTGCCTTCAGTGGCGGTGATTACAGAGGTGGATTTGAACCCAAAACGAGAAGCATTAATACCAGGTGTAGGCCCTACTGCCAGTAAAGGACAAATAAGAGATGCACATCGACAGATTATGCTCTTAAATCACCCAGACAAGGGAGGATCTCCTAAAGTAGCAGCCACAATCAGTGAAGCTAAAGATTTACTAGAAGGTCAAGCTAAAGAATGAAGTAACTATATGAATTTTCAGTTCATGTTAGCATGTGTATATGAGTACCAACTTTTTTTTTTTTAATTTTTATTTTTTTGACAGGCAGAGTGGACAGTGAGAGAGAGAGACAGAGAGAAAGGTCTTCCTTTGCCGTTGGTTCACCCTCCAATGGCCACCGCGGCCGGCGCGCTGTGGCCGGCGCACCGCGCTGATCCGATGGCAGGAGCCAGGAGCCAGGTGCTTTTCCTGGTCTCCCATGGGGTGCAGGGCCCAAGCACCTGGGCCATCCTCCACTGCACTCCCTGGCCACAGCAGAGGGCTGGCCTGGAAGAGGGGCAACCGGGACAGAATCCGGCGCCCCGACCGGGACTAGAACCTGGTGTGCCGGCGCCGCTAGGCGGAGGATTAGCCTAGTGAGCCGCGGCGCCGGCGAGTACCAACTTTTTATAATAAAATACCTCAGGTACAGTTTTTAAAAATGATTTAGAACAAAGTAAAAAAAAAATGCTTCTGACAGCTCCCTGCTAAAACAGCAGAGGATGGCCTGAGTCCTTGGGCCCCTGCACCCACGTGGGAGACCTCGAAGAAGCTCCTGGCTCCTGGCTTCGGATCGGCGGAGCTCTGGCCAGCCATTGAGGCCATCAGGGGAGTGAACCAGCAGATGGAAGACCTCTCTTTCTGTAACTCTGCCTTTTATATAAAATATATAAAATAAATGTTTCTGACAGGGCGTGTGTTTGGAGCAGAGGTTGTCACTTGGGACTCCTGTGTCCCATATGGGAGAGCCTGGGATTGAGTGTCACTTCTGCTGCCAGTCTGCTTCCTGCTAATGTGCACCCTGGAGGCAGCAGGTGACGGCTCAGTTATCTGGGTTCCATGTGAGAGATTTGGATGGAGTTCCTGGCTGTGGCTCCTGGCTTTAGGAGGTTGTGGGCATTTGGAGCATGAGCCCTTGGATAGAAGTTTCTCTCTCTCTCTGTCTCTCAGGTAGCTAGGTAGACATTGGCCTATGTGTGTAAGAGGGGCCAAAGAAAATGGGAATTTATTTTTTGTGGAGTTGAATGAAGGAAGAAATGTAGAACCAAGCCTTGGAAGCAGATCAGCATTTGCCCATCCAAAGTCTTACCCTTGTTCCTTGACCTTGGATGGTCTTCTCCCTAGCCCAGCTTGGGAGACTCTTGCCTGCCTGCACCAAGAGGGCTGTTAGGTCCATCAACACTGCTGAGGAAGTTTTGGGAGGAATTTTAAGAGTTCCCTGCCCAGGAAGCCCTCCACCCCGCGATATCCCAGAATTGGTGGGCCATACCCAATTTCTACAAAACCTTCGGTCTGAATGCAGGCTGGGCTCTCAGTCCTTCCTGACACGGCCACCCTGGTTATCAGGTGGTGTGCCTCTTCTTTAAACTTTGCTACCTCACTTAGCCACTACTCGCTCACATCTGAATGCTTTCTTCAGCAGGGACAAGACCCTCTGAGCCGTTTCTGGCAACAAGGTGAATGGTCTTTTAAAAAATGCTTAAATTTATTTGATTTTGAAAGGCAGAGGGAGACAAGTAGAGAGCTCTCATTTACTGGTTCACTTCCCTGATACCTGCGACAGCGAGGGCAGGGCTGGGCCAGGCCGAAGCTGGGAGTCAGGAGCTCCATTTGAGTCTCCCATGGGGGTGGAAGGACCCAAGTACTTGAGCCGTCATCTGGTGTCTCCCAGAGTATGCTTAGCAGGAATCGGAACCCAGGCCCTTTGTTGTAAGAGGCAGGCGTCCCAAGGGGCAGCTTAACTACTGTGCCATACCCCCCCCCACAATGATTTCTCAAAGGGTAAGATTGGAATTTTAGCCAAAAGTTGATTTCATCAATATTTTAAATAATCCAAAGCCTTTGCTTGCATTGTGACAATGATGTGTGAATCACATTAAAAAAAAGTTATTTACCTTTTTGAAAGGCAGAATTACAGAGAGAGGCAGAAAGATCTATCTACTGGTTCACTCCCCAAATGGCCACAATGGCCATAGTTGGGGTGATCCAAAGCCAGGAGCTGTGTCTGGTTCTCCCACATGGATGCAGGGGCCTAAGCACTTGGGACATCTACTGCTTTTCCAGGCCATAGCAGAGACCTGGATTGGAAATGGAGCAGTCTGGCCTCAAACTGGGGCCCATATTGGATGCTAGCGCTGTAAGCGGCAGCTTTACCCGCTATGCCACAATGCCGGGCCTGCGAATTGCATTTCTAAAAGCATGACCCCTTAGTTTTGTTTTGTTAAGATTCATTTATTTATTTGAAAGGCAGAGTTACAGAGAAGGAGAAGCAGAGAGAGAGAGAGAGAGAGAACGTTATCTTGCATCCAGAACAGCCAGGGCTGGGTCAGGCCAAAGCCAGGAGCTTCCTCCAGGTCTCCCACATGGGTTCAGGACCCCATGTACTTGGGCCATCTTACTATGCTTTCTTAGGCCACTAATAAGAAGCTGGATCAGAAAGGAAGCTGCTGAGACTCAAACTGCCGCCCATGTGGGATGCTGATGTTACAGCATTAACCTGTTTTGCCACAACGCTGGCCTCCATCCCCTGGTTCTTAGCACTAATGATCTAGAATGGATCAGAATGACTTCTTTGTGGGATGGTTGGTCATGTTAAGGTAGCTAGACAGACATCTATGTGTGTTAGAGGGGTGAAGACGATGGGGATTTTTGAAGAAATGGGGAATTTCTGTTTGGTAGAATGAGGAAAAATGTAGAAGCAAGTGGCCAACAATTACGTGTCTGAAACCTTGTGCTGGTTCAGTAACCGTGTTGGGTGGGTTCCAGCTCTCTCCCTGAGGAATCTCCCCCTCCCTACTCCAATCATAGCCTTCCAGGAGAGAATGAGAGCAGTGATAAGTCCTGAGCGACCTTGCCCTGAGGAATATTGTGTGTCTAGCCACCTTTAATCCTTTCTCCTGCCTTGTCTGGGGGCAGCCAAGGCCTCTTTGCCAAGTTCATGAGACAGAGGCTTTTAACCTAGGTGATGTGGGCTGGGGAATATTGGTTTCTATTCCGGGCTCTTGTCCCTTACCCAGAGGAGCATTCTAAGTGCAGACCCTTGTAAGGTGCACAAACTAATAACAGATTTTATTCAAAAGGTGAGAAAAGTGAACACGTACACACATGAGTGTGGGTCGGCCCACACAGAGAAATGCCCATCAAAGAGGAGAGGTGGAGGAAGCGCGGACACCCACACAGCACTCGCAGCCACCTCCACAGGACAGAGCAGATGCGTCCCAGGAAAGGCGGTGTTTTGATTGGCGAGGAGGAGGATAGACTTACATTTGGGGGTTCTTTAGAGGCTTCCAGCCCAGCAGCCCTAGACTGACACGTTGCTGATCCCACATCATAATCACCTTGGCCTTTCCCCAGTCTTTTAGCCAAAGTCTCTTGGCCACACTTGTGCAGACACACACCTGCCCACTCCCCACGGCCAGTCCCATCAGGAGTATCTTTCAAGAGACCAGGGCCAGCTGGCTCTTGTTCACTCTCCCCACGCTGGCCTTCTCGGGCCTCCCTGATTGCCTGACCTGCCCAGGGTCTGCTCTCTACCCCTTCTCCCTCATCTCATGTCGGCATGGCGGGGGATGTCCTGTCTGTTTAGCAGTCCAGGCCCAGAGTTTCAGCCAGCCCTCAGAGCTTTGCTTCTTATTTCCCTACTGCAGGATGCCATGGGCCTCATTTCCTCTCCCTCTGTCACCATTTTGTAAACAGCACTGGCAAGAACTGGTCTTGATGGATTCTC